ATTTAACTAATAAATTGAAACGTCTGGCTATTTTTATAAAAATTTACGAATAAAAAGCAATTTAATCATTATTTTATTAAAATATTTTTAAATATTAGTTCTATATTCGTATTCCCATATTCAGAAAAGTAATGCAATTGTGCAGTAGCTTCTCGATAAATGGTTGGATTCCAATTAAACGGCAGACTGGCCGTTATTCAGCAAAAAAATGAAAGAAAATGGTAATAATAATTTGAGTACACCTAATAGTTTGAAAGGAATTATTTTAGAAAAAAATTACTATATACTTTACCACTATATACCGCTGTATCATTTGAAGAATTTGGTAAAACGTCTTCATAACTGAATAATGATAATAATTACGATGCTTTATTACAAGATCATAATAATCCAGTATCGAACTATTCAACTGGTAGTAAAACTTCAGATTCACATCAAAATTCATCTATCGATAGAGAAGAGAATATGAATAATAATGATAATAATCAGATTATATGATTAAACGCGATAATCGATCCATTTGGCACTGGTAGAAGTACTTAAAACGACAAAAATTTGAACAGTGTCAAACTCTTCATTAGTTTGCGATTACGACGCTTCAAGTCCAGTTCATCATCGTTATAGAAGTCTTCAGAAAGGTGAAAAATTTTATCTTTCTGATGCTTAGTTACAATTATTCATACATGTTACAAAACCAATGAAACGTCAAAGGACATATATTATCGATGGTATCGGTAGTTTGAAAATTTCTGATTAATAGAACAAATAGTCTCTCCACAATGTTACCATGTGTAGAGTGCATCGGTGTCATGAGAGAACGACGGATACATGGACACCAAAAAACATTTTATTGATGATATGAAAAGCACAAGGCAAAAGCAATAGTTGCATTGAGCGAAAGACCAATCAAAAATTAACCAGTTTCAATATCCTACATATCTTACGATTTTTTTTTCTATTTACTGTTTAGACTTTCAAACCATTTTTATTTTTAACAGCCTTATTAGACAACGAACTGAAGTCGCTACAAATAATGCGCCCGACGATTCTCTGAATGTTTTTAAAGAACTCTTATTAAGGTATATGTATGATCAACAACTACAGGAAACCTTCCCAAACAGGCATCTAAAAACTACGAAAACCATTCTCAAACGTAGAGGTGCAGAATCTACCTGTGAGATTGAAAAATTTCACTAGACATAAAAAGCTTTTTCAAAAACTTTCCCGACATAATCCGCAAACAGGATTTCTTTTTGCAATATATATATTTGCAAAAAGATGTTCCAGTTCTTCAAAAAATTTCCCTAAATCAATAAGTTTTTCCCCCGATGATCGTCAGAGCAAAACAGGCAGATTCTGCAGCTCTGCCCAAACGACTAATTAGCATAATTAACCTCTTGAATGCCGTTATTTTTCCTCTTCCGCGTCCAAAGGCATGCATATGTAAAAAAACGATTAAATATCTCTCTTTGCGTTCTGTTGTTTTCGTCACATGTGTTCCTCTGCCACTTTTTTTTCGTTAAAATGATAGAACGAAAAAGCATATGCAACATATAAAATTTCCTTCATGTCATCTATTGTATAGATGCTTTACGGCATTTAAGAGGTTAACAGTCGTCATTGTTTCCATGGCATGAACAGTTAAAAAAAACTTCGTTCTCTCTTACAACAGAAGTCTCTATAAAGCAGCTTTTAGAAATCTAGTACACGAAGGTTCAGACGGTGATTTCTTTAGGGTGTTCGTAATACAATGACCGTTGAAAAGATGATCACTTATCGCCACGTTAAAAAGCGCTCGCGATGGAGCCATAGGCGGAGCTTTGCCTCAATTTGGCTCCATTAGGCTGAGCCTTGCCTTAATATGAAAAAATTAGTTTCGTTTTCCACCGTATTACACGGAATTTGCTGTTCATACCAGATAGACAAGCAATAATATAATACTTTATGGAAAAACGCATTAGCGAAATTGTTTTTTCGAAAATTCCCCCTCTCCTCCCTTGTTGGAGGTTTTGAAAGGCACAGGCCTGAGTCTTGCCTCGCCAAAAACGTGATATGACTCTCCGTATATATAGCTAGTTCGTTCAAATCAGCTGTTAGAGGTATGAATGTGCCGATTCTTTTCTCATCGAATCAACTAATGAGGCTATGCCTCTCTGAAGATGCTCACTTTTAGAAAAAGTCGTAAGAGAAAAGTCTGATTAGTCTTATCGCGAAATATTTTCTTTTTGTTTTAGAGCTTTATATTCGCTGTAAAAACAAATAACAGCAAAAACATAAAAAGTCACAGTAAAAACGTGGCATCATGAAACTAATGCCACGTTTTAACTGTGACTTTATATGTATTTTGTTAACGTTTTTTCTGTGGCAATGTCACATCCTAATGACATCTAAAAACGGATTTTCCGTGACGTCACTTTGCATTAGTTAAAATAGACCAATGGGATGAAGATAATGTCATATTTTTCCGTTATATGTCACGGTAAATTTGAAAAAAGAAACGTCCATGGTTTTTTCACCTACTTTTCTCTGAACCACATACAAAAGTTCGTCGATCATAGACTAAGGTCTGTGAAATATGTAATCACGGGCTTTTCAGCCTGGAAGTTGTCAGTCAGATCTGTAATTTTTCCGTGAAAATATGGATTAAAGTGCATGAAAAATTACAGATCTGACTGACAGTTTCCAGGCTGAAAAGCCCGTGATTACACATTTCACGGACCTTAGTCTGTGATCGACGAACTTTTGTATGTGGTTCAGAGAAAAGTAGGCGAAAAAACCACGGATGTTTCGTTTTTTAAATTTACAGTGATCGTATGTTTTTCCTGTTGATTGCTGCATTATTTTGCTACATTTTGCGGAAAGGTGGTGAACATTACAAGATACTGCATAGCCGGAATGAATTACTGTTCATCGGAGCAGACAACTTTTTTTTCTGTATTGGAAGAACACCTTATATGGCCATCATTTAGTCCTTTCGGACAGTGTTGGCGACAGCTAGATCCAGCTTTGACCTTCCTCGGAGCAAACGTATAAGTTGTTCCGTATTCTAAATAAGTCACGTAAAAAAAATGTTGGGAAAATTTGACAGTTGCGGCCAGATAACTTTTATTTTACTCTTACTGTACAGTTTATAATTGTTAAGGAAACTTATAGAAAACGAACAAGCAAAAATTCGCAGTAATAAAACATAAAAATAAAAATTTAGACCTCTTCGGCGATCTTGGCGTCAGCTAGGTCCAATCTTGAATTTCCTCGGAGCAAAAGCGATAAAAAGAACTTTTCTTTAATTTCTTCAACGTAGTTCATAAAATAAGGAACGTAGCATAACAACGATGAAGAAGTAAAAGTCGTCGTTATTGATATTATTGATAACGGCTAATGACTTTTCATGGCTAAATGTTTTTATCTGCTACAAAGGAAAATGGCCGTTATGCAATTTAGTAAAACGCCATGAACCAACTCGTTTGTCTGGTCGTCGGACAAACAGAAAGTTGTACCTCTAAGACTAAGACTGTTTATTCACGAAAAGTGAGAGAAACAGACAGTTGTACCTCTGTGTGATAAAAGGGATTAAGCCAATAAGATTAATCATCATAGCGAAATTAGTAGATCTTATCAGAAAAACGCGAAGCATAAATTTGAAAAAGTGAAGTGGTCTCTGAAGTGGTCTGCTTCATTTTCGAAGTGAAAAACAGAGTAGGAAACGACTTTTACAAAGAGGAAGATCGCTTTGCTTTCGTAGAGACCACTAATCATTAGAAACACTGTCTAGCATTGTGATGACGCTGAAAATCTGTGATGTGAAACGGGAAAACTGTGACTGTAAAAGCTGACGGAAAAAACGTTGAAATAACGTTTTTTTCTGGATGTCACGATAAAGCCATTCCATTCAGCATTAAAAGCGTTGAACTCAACAGCAAAAGCACAACATTTTTGCTGTGACTTTCCAACGGATTTCGTGGGACTCTTTTGGCAGTGTTATGCTGCTAATTACACCCTGAGAAAAACGACCAAGAAGATAACAAAGAATAAATAAAAATTTGAGGAAGAAACTATTCACTCTTTGGCTATTTAAACGAACGTTCAAATTTGCTAAGAGAAAGATGTTTAAGTTGATTTTAGAAAACAGCTGACTTTCTGTTTTTCAACGTCGTATCCAGAGCTGCCTGATGCGTAGGTCAGAAAAGCGGGAACGGATTTTTCATCAAACACAAAGGGTATCAAACAAATTTTTCTAGCGCGTTATGGTGGTTCCACTTAAGAAACACAAAAGGAGTACAAAATATCATTTAAATCCCAATTTTAATCGATATTGGGTTTTTGTGGATGCGCGTTTTTGATCAGTCGTCATAAATTTTAAGAGTTATGTATGGCAGGATAAAATTTAATTCGAAACTTTATCGCCTACAACAGTACTTAATGGTTAAGATTTTCTGACCTGGTTGGCTTTCTTGAAGATTTAGCATTTCACTATTTTTCACACTCCCTTTCAGTAGCATTTGAGACAAGTTAATGTTTTTCTGTTACCGCTCACTTCCGGGGCAAATTTGTGATTTAGTTCCTAAAACAGTGCGCATCTGTTTTATAAAAGTTGTAAAAGCATTGTTTTGACAGGTCATTCAGCCAAATTTTTTATGAGAAAATGTAAAAATCTTCATTGCAGGAAAAAGGACAGAAACAAAAAATCCTCGAAAAGCGGACACTTTGCGGAAAAAAACTACAGAAAGCGGAATTTGTCCACAAAATGCGCCCTATGTTGCAACTTTGGTCGTACCATATTTCCACATAAATTACTCTGAATCGGCGAAAACTCAAAGCTTGTTGCAATTTTCTGCTTTGGACGGTGACATCGTGAAGTAACTGCGTGAAGTGAACTGTAAGAGACAGTGATTCCATACAAAACTTCTCATCGCGTATGGTAGTCTAAAGAAGTTGGTTGATTCTACACTTGGATATATTCTTTGGTCATGTTTCAGATGGCTAGTCTGAAACGTGCTCGTAGTGATAACGATCATCACACAGAAAAGTTGATTGTCACTAACGTTGAGGAAGAATACAACTGGTAAGAGACGAGATTAGTGTGCACTCAATGTACTGACAATTATCATCTTTTAGTCCGATATGTTTTGAATTGATTAGTGAAGCGTTTGTTACACGTTGCGGCCACAGTTTTTGGTAAGTTACCATCTTTTGTTTCCTATAGCTAATTAAACAGATTTTTACTGATTTTTCTTTTTCAGTAGTAAATGTTTAAATCGTACAGTTGAACAACATCATCGTTGTCCAAAATGTCAGAATTCACTGGCATCCGCTGATATATTTCCAAATTATACATGTATATCGTGTTTTGTCGTTTACTATTAGATTTTTAATTATACTTCCTGTTTTAGTAAATTCATTGATTGAAAAATATCGTCAGCAAAAACCATTATCAAATGAATTTGATAAACAAGGTGTAAGTGATTCAGTTTTTGTGGAAATATAAAATAGCTATTTTGTATTTTCCAGGGTGTTGTTGAACATATTTCAAATATGGTGACAAATCTCAAGTCATTACAATCAGCAGATTTGGATCATTTGATTAATATAATCCAGGAACATAAAGAAAAGTTGGATGCGGTAATTAAGATATCAATAATGAATTAACATAGATGTAATATGAAATGTTTGTTTTTCGTGTTGTTTTTAGAATAGTGAATATGTCCATAATCGTTTATTAAAAATATTTTTACTTCATGTTCATCAAGAACGAAGTAGCGTATGTGATGAAGGGAGATGGAAGAGTAGAAAAAGAAATATTTTAATATTTTCTATTTTTTTTAAGGCATTGGATTCATTATCAAAAGAATTAAGTATTGTCGATTATGATTTAAAACAAATGAATAAACGGCAAAAAATCACTAGCTCATCATTACCATCTTCATCAGCAATAATAATCACAACAACGAAATCTCTGCTAAAAACTGATAATAAAAATCAACAAGTTGCTGATCGTAGAGCAAATGATGGAGAAAATGATAATGCAATAGTCAATGATAATGTTCCAATATGGAGTGCAATTGGTGTACAGGTAAGAAGAGAACATAATACTGAGGTTGAGAAAGATTTGTGAACGTCACAACTTCTTTTTTCTTGAAAGGATCTACGTGCGACACCGGAAACAAATGAAGAAAAGCAAACTAATACAGCTGCTTCAACAACACTAACGTCGACACATCAAGTCAAAGCAGAAAGTATCGATGCTAGGCTCGCATCTGGAGCTGTGGTAAGAATCCTTTTCTATTCATTATACAACAAAAAACCAATGTTTGTTTTGTTGTGTTTTTAGGTTCCGGAAGAAAAGCAATCAACAACAGATATTGAACATCGAACAAAAATAATGATGCGTTTCGTTGAAGATCTAACAAATATTTATTTTTCAACTCGTAATTCACGTCGTCTGAGTGTTGACAATGGCAAGTAGTATAACATCGACCGTTCATATATTTTGTATGCTTATGTTCGCACTCTGGTATTTAGATGGATCATTAAGCTCAGATGTTGGATTAGGAAGTTTTCGAGATAGTTTAGCTGCGGTAACAAAATATTCTCGTTGTAAAGTGTTATCATCTGTAAATTTTGTTGGTGAAAACTATGCACAAGCCAGCATTGTATCAAGGTATGTTCTTGTAGTCATGGGCATCAATATTGCAAAAAATTTCGTACGTTTTTATGTTTCATACGTTACCAAGAAAAAAACGATAATCGATTTTTGAAAGCACTTCACAGAGCTAGTATAATGTTTTTCTAGTTGTTACTGGAATTTGTTAGTGAATTTGTCATTCTTTCAAGCTTGTCTTGATGGACATTTTGAAGTTTAGGCAGTAAAGATCATGTTTTTGTTTTTCAGTATTGAATTTGATCGTGATCATGAACATTTTGCTGTGGCTGGTGTTTCAAGAAAAATTAAAGTAAAAAATGTGTATTTCCAATTTTCTGCTTTTAATTTCATTATTTATATTTTTAGCTATATGAATATAATTCTGTACTCGATAATACGGTAGATATGCATTATCCAATCAAAGAAGTTAGTTGTTCAGCAAAATTAAGCTGTATCAGTTGGAATAGTTATCTGAGAAATTATTTGGCAAGTAGTGATTATGATGGATTTGTTAGCATTTATGATATGGCAACAGGGCAAAAAGTTCGAACTTTTCAGGTAAACGGAATAATCTACTGCAATCAAAAAGTAAACAAGAAATTCAAGAATTTTTTTCTAAATATCATATAAAGGAACATGAAAGGCGTTCATGGAGTGTTGATTTTTGTTCATCTGATCCAAAATTACTTGCATCGTGTTCGGACGATTGTCGAGGTACAAAGCAGTATTTTTTGTACGTAAACCCTTTGCATCATGTTTTTCTTTCTGTTAGTGAAAATTTGGTCAATGCATAATGATTATTCAGTGACAACGATTGATGCCAAATCAAATGTTTGCTGTGTGAAATTTAAACCAGATTCTCAATACAATATTGCTTTTGGAACAGCAGGTTAGTCCTGGAATATCTTATAACTTATTTCAATTTCATTTGGATCTGTTTCATATTTAGATCATAATTTATATTATTTTGATTTGAGAAATACTCGTGAACCGTGTAATTTATTGAAAGGACATAAAAAAGCTGTGTCCTATGCTCGATTTTTATCACCAAATGAAATTGTTTCAGCGTATGCATCGTTGTACTCTTCATTTTCGGTATTGTAATTTGATTTGTTGGCTTGTTTTGTAGTTCAACGGATAGTCAGTTACGTTTATGGCGTGTAACAGAAGGTCAATGTCTTCGAACATATCGTGGTCATGTGAATGAGAAAAATTTTGTGGGTTTGGCCGTATCCAGTGGTTATATCGTCTGTGGTACGTTAGAAAAGTTGCAGAAAAAGATAGAGAAGATTATTCATGACTTTTTTTAATGGTAGGTAGCGAAACAAATACAGTTCATCTCTACCAACATGATATTTCGAGACCGTTGTTGAGCTATAAATTTGATGATGGAAGTACAAAAGCATCAACTGTAAGAGTAGCTTTCAAGTTTCGCTCCTTCTAGCAAAATGACGTTTTTTGTGCTTTGAAGGATCGTGTTAAAAAAGATGATACTGGCTCGGAATTTGTCAGTGCAATGTGCTGGAGTAATGTAAGTACACAAAGCGAAAAGAACGCTCGAGGTTATTTACATTCTCTTTCTTTCATTTTTAGCGTGAAAATATTTTACTGGCAGCAAATAGTCAAGGTGTTGTCAAAGTGCTGGAACTTTCGTGAGGTAAGCATACTAAGGTCGATTCATAATTATCTACGACACGGGCTAAGGCAGAACTTGCATGAATAAGACAGTATAAATGGTAGTTGAATAGAATCAAGAATAGGGATTTAGATTGTTTTTTTATCAGGAATGGCTAAAGTTTTGGCGGAAAGCGATAAAAAAGGAATTCTATTGATAGTGGTTAACAAAAACATAAAAGTTTTCTTAATCTTGTATGCTGCAGTCAGACATGTTAGCCGATCAGTCGCTGTCAAAGCCATATAAGTATTTTGAGGCCTTCGGTCGCAGCTGATGGAATGATCGACCGACACGTCTAGCTATGCCTGTTTGAGCCAGTAGCGCAACCAGGATATTTGGGACGCTCTTTATTGAGGCAAAAGAAGGATTGGGCAGAACATTTTTCCGCGGCGGAAAACGATGACAAAAGTTCTATTGGAAGGTCAAAATCCAAGGAGGAACTAGCTCCTGTGATTGGAATCATTAGTTAAGAACATGTTTTGCTATGAATTTAGTTCTGATGTTGGTGGAATGTTTGAAAAAGTGTAAATCTCCATATCTCTAATTCATTCTGCTTTTCTTTTAGTATCTCAATTGGAAAAATCTAATCAAAAGTATGGTACATATTCACACAAAAACGTAGACATCATGTATGCATCTCAATCATTTTTGTGAGAATGGTTGTAATGGGGTATCTTTTCGTACGTAGTAATTTACAGTCGAACATGTGAAACATACAAACTATTTTTATGTTTTTTATTCTTGTATTTATTGTTAAATCATGAGACGATTAATAAGGAGTCTTTCCATAGATAATTATGTTCTTTCTTGTTTTCGCATTATAACCATATCAAGCAAAAGATGTTCAGATATCTATGCATAGAAGAACACCTGAGGATATTTTTCTAAACTTGGCTTGCACATTTGCATTACATATGCAAGAATCAGAAGCAATGGAATATTTATTTAATATGGTTCTATTATTTGACGTTCAAATGTTTGTTTGTTTAAAACTGATTGTTAATAGTAACTCAGCTATGTTGTGAAGAAGTATATAGAAAATGTTGTCTTCTTCGTTTGGAATGAATGTCCTTCTCTGTTTCTTTTCTTTTTTTTTGTTACACTCATAATGATTGTATATAAACTTCTATATGGAAATCTCCGACTGTATTTATTTTTGTACTAATTTTGTCGACGGTACTAAATTATTTTTTGCTGGCATCTTAGTGTTGCCTGCTCTTTTGTTACCCCTATGCATGCAATTGTTTCTTTTTTTTATAGTGCATCATAAAGGTCGTTTTTTCTGTTTCAGCTCACCTGCCTGTTGTCTATTGTATAAAAAAAGAAGCGTTTTTTTCTTTTTCTGTCTTGTGTATGTATATCAGTTTAATTAGTAAAACAGTTTTTTTTAAACATATTATATAATTGTGTGTGTCTGAGAGAGAAAACAAAATGATGATAAAACAATTTTAATGAGCTTTAAACATATTAAAAAATAAATCGTACACATATCGAACAAACAAGATTGATAGCTAGAAAAATCTATTTCTATTGTTTGAAGACGAAGAAAGGTTTCCAAAATTTGCTGACAATTAATGCTTTTCGATTGTTTGGTCAGATTTTTTAAAGACGACATACCTATTAACGTGTGAAATATCACAATAATATTTGCAAACAAAATACTAAATCTTTTTTTAGTTAAAATTTTTTTTCTTTTGGTCCCCATATCTAAAACAAAAACTGCTACCTAAAAATTCCACTTGTTTTGAAAACTTCTCTGATGGGATCGACGCAGCATTCTTTAAAACCGAGAAAGATAGACCTAGTATTATCCTTGTACTAGACCTGTGACCGTTAGTACTTCCTTGAACAGCAGTTCCTTAATAGCGGCAGCTACTTTTCAGTTCGTGTCAGGCCCGTAGCCAGGATTTTGCTAAGGAGAGGTGCACTATAGATGTAAATCGATATACCGGTTTTCTTGCATTATGTTTTTTTGGTTTTACCGGTTCTAATTCCAATGCAGCCGTCTGTGTGACAGCAACCAGTCCAGAAAACTAACAGGAAGCAAAAGGATCTTCACACCGGTTTGCATCAATGAAACGCGCGAAAAAAATGTAGATATCTCTTGTCACAACTCATTTAAGCAACCGAAGTAACTTTTTAGGGATTGGTAAAATATTCTCTTGTTCTCGTTCACGCTGTCATTCCTAATAATGTCTTTTGAAAAGAGATGAAAGCTCGAACCTTATCTCGTCAGTGATTTCTTTTAGAAATCAAATATGATTGTTTTCATAATATTTATTAAATTTTTACTTATGTGGTGTGTCCGGGCACAACGGGCATCCCCGCCCCTGGCTACGGGCCTGGTTCATGCTTATTGAACGAGAAGTGTTTTCCAGTTTCTGTTCCTGAACTAGGAACGGTTCAATAGCTCACGTTTCGAGAAACGGTTCACTAGTTCCAGTTCTTGCGCATGGGAACTACCGTTCTTTTTGAACTAGGAACTGTTCGGTATACCGAAGGTTTATTATATACTCTCTGTTCATATCTTTAACATGTTAATGAAAGAGAGAGCATTGAAAATACTATATTCCATGGTTATCTTGTTTCAGCTGCATGATACCAGTTTCATTGTTAAATTATGTAGTTTCTCTTCAGCATTTTCCATCTTTCACTTAAATTAGAGGTCGCATGGTGGAGAAATTTAGCACCTAGTTTACTGTTCCAAATGATTTGTCTATGTTGATTTAAGATTTGTTTATTGAACTAGTGTTACAAGGACAGTCCAACTTTAAAGGAAATGTGTACAGTAAAATAAACTATAATTCTACAGCTTCTTGGAGATTTCTCATATTTCTGATATTATTACCCAAAAGTCTCAAGAATTCGGTGTTCGAATTCCATTCTAGTGGCGGGCTGAGGGAAGGAAGTCTGTCAAAGATACCATGTTCAATGCGGCCACACCTATCTGAAGAAAAATTTTGATTTTACCCTATATTTGATTTGACAAGTTTTTTATTAACAGAATTTTTGCTTTTTACACCGGCGAGAAGTCTTCTTTTAAACCGTAAATTTTTATTGAAAAATACAACAAACCAAGGTGTCACCCCATTACATGCTCTCAAAAAGTGAAGTAAAAACAAAAGTTTCTGAATTCATCACTGTTCTACTTCACAGTTCAGGAAATTGGTCACAAAAAACTGGGACATTTGCGGTCCTCTAGTTGGAACCGAACTCTGGAGCACCCTTCTTTTCCTAGGCTCCTCTTTTCGCTTTTTTTGTTACATGAAACTACTGTGAAAGACTTCTCTCTAATCTCACGCAAAAAATAATTCCTAATAAAGATTAACACAAAAGATAATTAATGTTCTCGTGCTGTTACAAAAGATAAGTTATTAAGTAATATTGTCCTAATCAATAACTGACTAGGATGTTAAAGGAGATGAACAGACAGTAAGGGGACACCGCCTATATTCCCATCAGGATATAGAAAAAGGAACTGGAACCACTGAACCGTTTTCCGTTTCTAGGAACGTGAACTGCTGAACCCGCTCCTAGTGCTGGAACAGGAACTGAAAAACACTTCCCATTCAATAAACGCGACTGTTGAATCGTTTCCGTTGAAAGAACGGGACCTGCGATCTGTCATAGGCCAGTTCTGTAGTACTTGGGATAAGAATTTCAACCTTATAGGAAAAGCTTCCAAATACATTACTTAGATTTTTTTATAATACATAGAATAGACAATTGAAGAAGAATTTCTATTAGGTATTATAATACTAACTTTCAGTTATATATTGAACAGCTGAATGGAATTAGAGAAGAAATAAAACGTACTTAACTCTATTCTACTATAAAAAATACTACACAAAAATTAAAACCAAATTTACGAGAAAGACAGGAGATACCAATATCGGTCGTATTTGGTAATAGCAAAAATATAATATAATATATAAGGGAATGCTTGTATTAGAGATGTACTACCCGAGCCGTAGCCGACCCGAAGGTTGGGTACTAGTACGAAGTTTTCGGTACTGGCCGAGTGTGGGTTCCGTTATTTTTTAATTTATCCGAAAACTGGAAGGTTTAAGTGGAAAACTGCAAAATGTTAGTGAAAAAATACAAGATTTTAGCTAAAGTACATGAAGTTTTAAAAGAGTTACTTGAGAACGTAATGATTAGCTTGACATCTCCAGCCGAAAAACAAAAGGAGAAAATTTTTAGGCATAAGTCAAATAGGGGTCGGGTACAGATAGAATAATTACGGATACGGGTCCAAAGTTCTCGGGTTGGGTCGGGTACAGGTGAGAAAACATTTTTCGGGTCGGATACGGGTAGGAAACCGGTACTCGTCCACATCTCTAGCTTGTATACAGTTTGAAGATATGACAGTGACATTGAAGTGAGATCTAAATTTATGGATCTGTCAGACGGCGCAAGTCCTAGACTGGACGTTAATCGAAAAGATTTAAATGGTAATGTACCGAAAATATCATTGATAAGTAATCCATCGGTAGAACGGATGAAAACGAGATCAGTTTCCAACAAGAAAACATCCCGGAATACATGAAGTTAACATTCATTATCTCTTATGAAGAATGGAAAGGCCATCTGCAGCTTTTGAAATTTAACTCAAATAACATGTGAATATATCGGTTTTGCAGAGCATCAAAAGGCGTACATTTGTGTGTATTTTTAGGGTTTTGAAACCGCATGAATATTGAGAAAACTAAAAGTTTTGGTTGATGTGTATCAATGCGCTGTCTGTATAATAAAAAATCCTTTTTCAATAAACTTTTCGTTTTTTCGAAAGGCATTCTCATCGGTAAATAGGCGAGACTGATTGTGTATCTGTACGTATATTTGGAATACGATGTAAATCTACGAAATTCGAAAAACGTTCAAAAGAAAAAAAATTTTCTGTTTTTTAAAATGTCAGGTCCACTAAAAATGCTATATCTCCGTTAAGAAAGCTTGCAACATTGCCCCGTTTGCACATAAACATCCTTGCATTCTGCACTATAAACTCTGACATTTGAAAGAAAAAAATTACTTGTCCCCTGAGATTTGTAATTTTTTAATACAAACACTAGGGTATAGTTTTGGATCACTTTTAGTGAAAACTACGCTTTTTTTCATCCAGAAGAAGTTTTCTAGTAAAACTAATGACATATTTGTTATCCAAAGATTGAACTGGATCGAATGATGATCTTCTTAACCATTCTGTCCTCGAAAACTTTAGTGGAGTTCAGTGCACTTAATTTAATTCCTGCACAAGAGTCTGCTGAGTAACTAAAGCTTTTTTATTGAGTAACGCATTTTTTGACTAAAAGTTTTTTCTGAGTAACTCAGTTACTCAGAAGGTTGAGAAAGTCACTTACTCAGGTGCATCAAAGGCAGTTTCTCAACTTAAATTTCTTAAAAAATTTCTGTTTAAGTCAAAATTTTTTGAGTAACTGTATTCAAATCCCCTAATCGATAACGTTGGATGTCACACATCTATGAAAAAATGTTTCTTAGAAATATTAAAATATCAAACCAACTTATCCTACATCTCTAGGGGTCTGACATATTGTTATTATAATCAATTATATTTTTTGTTTTAAAGTTCGAAATGAATAATTGATAGTTTTACACAAAAATACTCGGGTTTTAGATACGCGTGACTATAGAAACAATTGTGGTAGGTAAATATGATTAATTATTTGTTCACACTATTAATAAATTGAATTTGTTTCATTATATATCATTTTTTTTTTGTCTTTTATGATATTAGACAGGACGTTTCTATGTCGAATAGAGAATTGGAAACAATGACTAGTAAAATTATCTATTTTTATGTTTAATTTTGAGCTTTTCGATCTATCTCTAGACATATTATCCGAAAAAAATTGTACAAAGAGCTATAATCAGTCTACATGATATTTGTACATATGGAAAGCGTTGGTAAAAAAAGAAAAAGAAACACACATGTTAACTTCAATAAGAAAACAAAACAAAAAACAGAATAAAATAAAGAAGGATAAGAGAGCTGATTATTTTATTTTTTCGCTAGATATTTTACGAAAAGACCTCTAAGGATATATGGAAAACAAATATACTAATAGAAAAAAAAATGTGAGTGCCAAATGGGGAATCTGTTGTCTGCTATATACAATCATTTAATTATATATCTTTTATCTAATATATTTAATTGATTTGTTGTATAAAAGAAAATTTGAAATAAAAACTGTTGATGCTGAAAGTTTATGTAATAATATTTCGATCGAAGAAACAACTAATATTATTTATGAGAAATTATATTATAAAGATCTTAAATTAAAATTATTTATATTAGAAAGTTATTTGAATAAATTTGTTGTCAATGAAAATGTTCTCTATTCCGATAACTTATGCTATTATCTAAAACTTCGTATATATTTTGATAAAGAAAATGGATGAAAAACGTACAAACCATCGTTTATATTATTATCGACAAAAAGCCTCGGATCGGGTAAATTTACGCGGCAGAAGTGAAAATAAACTTTTTTTTCATTCTCAATAAAAGTTGTACAGAGAATGACGAATAAATCTCACTTTGATCGATCGATTGCACCCAGTTCCAACGTTTATTACAAAGAACATGTACAACAGTATACAAAGAAATAATTTCATTATTAAATTAGTTACCCAACTTTTATTTTGTAAATGGTGTTGTTTAAAATTCATCCTGACCAATTATTATGGACAAAACGAGTTATTATCTAAATAAATTATCAAAAATAAATAAAAATCTTCAGTATAATGCAAAATATGGTGTGTTAGTATAGGGTCGGTAAAAAAACAAATTTTTTGATGAAGATCACGAATCTGCTGTTATTTTTATCAAAATATGTACCAGAAGAATGAAAATCGTAAAACACGAGCACGTTTAACCATAGAGTTCAAGAGATTATTTTCATAATTCAATAGTCAGTCCATCGTTGTATGGACTATCGATTATACTCATAAATTTAATTTTTAATGGGCATTAATTTGGTATATAATACTCTGTGATATCATTTATAGTTTGAACGGTACCCCCCTGAAAAAACATTTTTTTCCGACCCTGTAGATGACGTTAACATTTTGGTAAACAATGCCAATAAATAATAAGCCTAAAATTAAAAATTAGCAAGTAAATCTAAAATATCAAATAGTATGTTAAACGAATTTCTTTATCGTTTAAATTGTTATACAATCATCTAGTATTTTGTTTATAAATTTATCTCAAGAACGAAAAAAAAACATACAAGAATTTCTTCGATTACTTAATAAAATATAAAGATAAAAACAAAAATAAGATGTTAACCGACACTCAACTAATTGAATAGGAATATAAAAATGAATTTGATACAAAAAATTCTTCCTCATTCAAACTTGACATGGAGAACACAATCTTTCTCATACACAAATTCATTGACCTGTAAAAGGAAATGTGTGCGTATGTGTATATGTTTTTATTGATAATGGTTTATGACAAAAGTTTCAGATATACATTTTTATCTCTCTGATGTTAGACAACAGGAGAAAAACAGATGATCGATAAAATATATACAAATTTGGATGATCTAAGATCTATTTATACATATTTTATAGATGAATTATATTTGTTTTGATTCAATTATTTGATTGATTACTCTAATTATGTTATTTCATTTGTTGTTGTTATTCATTGATGAGTGATATTTGTTGATAAACGAGAAATAGGCCATTTTTTACGACCACAAAAAAAATATTTTAAATTTTTTCTAAATAATTGACCAGTAAGTAAATAAATATAAAAATGTCCAGCATAATATGTTTGTTGCATTAATATAAAAAATACTTTTTGAAACCAATATAAACATGTATGTGGTTGTATTGATGAAAAATGATCATTTATTTCAGCTGGTAATGTTAAAATAATAAAAGCCATCGATGTTCCAATTAACATAAAACTTAATTGTATATCTTTTTCTCGTCTATGATTTGTTTTTCGTTTTATAATTGTTGTTTTAATAAGTGAATTATTATTATTTTTTGAAATATGTTTTATTATTGGTGTTGTACAACAATGATAATAATAAAAATGTCCACGAGAATTATAATGAACTGTTCGTCTTGTTTGTAATATTTTAATAATAATTAATATTGAACAAGTAATCATAATTAAAAATGGTATCATATAGAAAAATATTGTTTCAATATATGTATCAAATATAATATAAAATGAATTATATAATTTATTATTTTTATTTATATGACAATCATAAAGATTTTTAATATGAGATATTTTTGTTAAAGTAAAACCATAAATTAAATGAATATTAATTAATGCAAGAAAAATAATAAAAAATAATACTAAATATTTTGCTGTATGAATATTACAAAAACGTTTTGTTTTTGTTGGACAATAGATTAATAAAAATCGATCAATTGATGCTAATGTTAATATTATATTTGATAAATGAGATGAATAATAGATAATAAATATTAAAAGTTTACATAAAAATAAATTATGTTTCATTATATCAAAATGTAGACTATGTGGTAGTGTTAATTCAATAGCTATTGCTAATAGATGAAAACAATCACTAATGGCTAATATAAGAAAATAGTAACAACATGATTTATGTACTAAAAATAGAATAATATATTTTGTTTGATAAATAGTATTATATATTAAAAAAAAGACTAATAATTACTTACTTAATGGTTTTCGTGAAAATACACAAATACTTAAAATTGTTGAAAATAATCCAACAATAAAAATAAATGTACCAAAATAACGTAATAATACATGATTTGTAAATGTACATTTATTGTAGTGTATATCAAATATCGTTTTATTCATGGAATAATTCATCAATTTATCTTAAAAAATTCAACTGATTAGTCTAATTTTATGGAGCTTTTTTTATACTACCCAGAGAAGAAAAAGTACAGAAAACGTTCATATTTAAACTGTTAACTTCTAACCTTATTCATATATGAAAGGATATATAAAATAAAAAATATATTTTCTTAATAACGGTAAAAAGATCGACGATCGTCATCAGTCTACATTCCTATTTTTGAATTAATTATATTTTTTCTTTCTCTATTTTCCCATAGAGAGAGAGAAAGACAATGTATAGACGTGTCAAATAATTTCCATTAGATGGATGAATTCACTAGAGAAAACAAGAGGAAAAGAATGAGTGAATATGCTTATTGTTGTATCATTTTAGCAAAATTTCATATTATGCTAAAACTAAAGGAGAAGAATAATTGGTCCAAATAGAAAACAATTCAATGATCATCTTAAAACTTTTAGAAGATTTTCTAGAACAAGAATAACAATAGAAGAAAATTAGCATTCTATAAATGATGTGCGTTAACGGAAAGGGTTTAAAATCCTGTAGAAATCGAACCCTTCTCAAATTTCGATCTATATAGATCGATAGAGAATTCAGTTCTATGTAGTTTTCTGTGGTTTTCGGAGCTTTGAAATGCATTTTGTTGCGAAAATAAATTATAATAAATTACCAACGTTTTTGACGCTGAATTGCCATTAATAATTTATTTTCGATAGGAAATGAGAATGGAACCAAATTTTCTCAAATATGTCAATCGATAGAGCTCGACGAGCTGATCAAGAATATGTGCAAAGGAATGTTTGAAAGTAAATTCTGATTAAAATGAGACATCTCTCAGCTCTACAGTACTGGCCAAAATTATAGAGCCACCCTACTTGTCACGCATTTTTCACCTGGTGTACATTCGCAAAAGAATATCTTTAGTGAAAAATCACTCTCAGATATAGATTATCATTCGCGCTTTCAGAATATACTAAGAAGAAGTTCGAATAACGCGTCATAATCGTAAAATTTTTTTTTAAATAAGTGGCCAATTTTGACTGACCAGAATTATAGAGTCACCTAGAAGTATCTCGCGATTTTCACCTAAACTTTCAACTATTTCTTTTGGGAGACATACCATTGGACTCAGTAGACTGCTGGCTATCTCCTGATAAAAATATTTTAAAAAAGTTTCGAGTTTTTGGGGTCAAAAATCCAGCTGGCACAGCCCAAAATTTTCGTAAAGTTGAGAATTTCAAACTAAGGCTAAACTTTAACGCAATAAGAAGGACACCGTTAGAAAGAGTGCGAAAAACTGCATCTAGTGCAGTGGTTTTCACCGTGAATTTGGCAGACACAATGCATTTTTTAAATCGAGTCAAAAAAATTCGAATCCCACATCATATTACGAAACCTATACTTCCCGCTATTGTTCCTGCGCTTGAAGAACCTTGAATTCCCTTCTCCACGGAATGTTTTCTTGATGTAAAAATGGAGAAGGGAATTCAAGAATTTTTCAAGGAACGGGCAAAAAGAGAGTGGGGTTATTTATAAAATAATGAAAATAGAAGATATGTATTAACCCCAGAGTGATACTTCATCTCCATTGATATCAGGATCCTTATTGAATAATAAGGATCTTCTAAAGGTTAGAGTTCAATTACCCCTGGCAAGTTTTTAGACATACCACTCTTTATAAACAACTCATTCAAGGAAGAAAGAGTCGTTCAAACAAGTATTCTGCCAAGATGCTTAATTTGCTTCCCTGATATAAACCCCCCCCCCAGAATAAAAGGGCATGCCCTTATACAGTGGTCCTGGCACATCGCTACTTTTTGGGTGGCCTTCTATTGGGGGTCAATTTTTGGCCAGTTCTTAATTAAAATCATTTAAAAAATTAATA